ATAGTGGTACAATAGTTCAGGCATCACCGCAATTGATTGACTGCATTCCAGATGCATTCCTTTCTTCTGTCTGTGTGGCTGACTCTGTTCGTTTCCTTTTTCTCCCGAGTCTGTCACAGGTACGGCGACACGCACCCAAGGAATTGTTCTCCGTTTCGACAACAATACAAGGCACACAGTTCCATTATCTGGACATGAGCGGAAAATTATCAAATATTTTACAACTTACTAACTGGACAATTCAATCAATTCTTCCGCGGCATGAACCACTGAGTCCAATTTACCTAACAATACCTCTTCCATAAATCTCTTGACTGGAGGACTTTCGACTACGGAAGGCACATTCGCCTGCCAATACAAAGCTTGAATAATCGGTCGTTCTAAGCTCTTCAATCCGCTTTGACCGCTCAAATGGCCGTGGTTTCCCCTATTTCTAATCATTTCACTACATACCCCGGGGATCTGCGATTCTTTCTTCGGAACCTATCCTGTCCTCCAAGACTTCAACATACTTCAACGTATATTCTTCGAGGCTTCACGTGGTTCTGCAGATGATCAACACATCATATCCAGAAGGAATGCTTAGTTCGTGACCTACCGATCTGGCACAAGAGAGGACCCAGGCACGCAATGGCCACTCGCATAGCGCATCAATCAGCAGAAAATGGGACGCAACTTGACTGCGAATAACGGAGCAAAAAATCCTTCAACAAGAAACATAGCCAGTTACAACTTGCCATTCAATGCATTGGTGGCAGTGTTCCAGGACGTGGTGGGTTTTCGCCTGGCAAGCGTTCTCCTTATAAAAAGCCACAAATGTCCGTTTAACAACACTGCAACATGGCGAATGTGACTCGCCACCGAATAAAGTTACAGCCCATAACTTCACACTGGCAGCTCAATTAGAATCATCATATTGGATAGCCTGCTCTTCAATTATCTTCCAATGGATCACTCAGGATTCTTTATCTATTATTACTCGAGGTATGACTGCGATATATGGCAGAGTGATATGTCCAAACAAGTCGTTCTTTCGCATGTTCAAAATTGCACAGTTCCAAGCATGGACATATGAACAATTTTCTACTGTCACTACAGTTCCCATAAAATGTCTGTACAGCTGTACATACCTGATCATGCCTCAACTGGCGTGTCTCGCATAGTCGAGAATAAATATTTATTTATTTATTTATTTATTTATTTATTTATAATACGGTGTAGTCAAGATGTGATAGTAGAATGGTGCCATGCAGGGATTAGAATAGGCAATGTTGAAGATGAGAGAAACAGACGTTAATGTGCACTTAAAGCCTTGGTAGTGGAGCCAAGAGTCAAAACTCAATCAGAGACCGGAAAATTGAATTTCGGTAGGGAGGACCCATCGTACAGATAATGAAGCAGACGGAGACAAGTGTCGTTATACAGTTGCTTGCACCAATGCGTACCTTGGTCCATGGCAGCCAACGCTTAAAAGAAGAGAGGCATTGGTTTGAGACCTATGGGTATTTGGAGTATCGGCGACCGGACTGGTCCAAAACGTTTAATAATGAGAGACACAGTAGCGAAGGGAATCTAGCAAGGAGTGGGTTTTTGCACTGTCGCTGGGGGTACCCAGGCCACTGTTAAAGCGTTGCTATATGGACCAGAAGTGCTGAACGCAGAATACACGGAGTGGGTTAAGCATGGGGTGGATGAGACATGAAAATATAAAGTGATGATAATCTGGTGCTGGAGGATTAACGGAGACCTCAGTCCGATAGACAGGGGCTTGAATACTACAGTGTACGGTGTGGTCAAGGAGTGTGAGCAGTGTGGAGCCATTTAGGGTATATAATAGGCAGTGATGGTAAGGAGGGGGAGATGAAACCTCAACGTTCTAGAAAGCACCGTAAGTGAAATATTTGGGTCAAAGGGATGGAAGCCGTGAGGCAAGCTCGTTTATTTAGGGATAAGAAGGCCAGAAGAGAGCAGACGTGCGAATGTTCAGGTATCAGAAACAGCTGTGTTGCGAGGTTAAAAAGAGATAGCAGACTGTCGGAAATAACGCATAGAAAAGGGATGTAGGCTTATTCGCTAGAGATTGATTGGTCCTGTCTCCCATAGCACAGCATCCGTCAACTTGAGGCTTAATATTTCCGAAACTGTGTTTACGTCGAGGAATCTTCTTATAACCTTGTTGAAGTGTGTACTGGTCACAGCTGAGCGAATTTGCACGGGTAACTTGTTCCACGTGTCCACGTATCTATAAAGGAAGAAATTATGGCGAATGCCGCAACGAACAGCCAGTGGACTGAATGAATAGGTCGCTTTGCGCTGATGATATCGGGTATCCTTGTCGTTCGGAAGTGTCGCGTCCTGTTCATTTCCGGCTTTTGTTTAAGCTGGTATCGAAACGTAAGGTTCAGCTTTAACCTCCATAACCATAGCGCGTTCAATCACAGATGTTTGCATCGAATACGGTATCTCAGCATGTTTGTGCCTAGTAGACGTTTGGTAAAGGAACGCTGTACGTTCTCCGATGCATTCCTGTCTCGCTTGCGTGAGTTCATAAGGACTACAGATGAGCATTCAAGAAAAGACTTAGCGCACGTTTTATACAGTGTCAGTGGAGATTCCAAAAGCGACATGATTGAAGATATAGCCTATTAACGACCTAGCGTTAACGGCACTATAGCTTACTTGCTCCTCAAAGTTGAAGGTCCTAGCGTATTGAACCCCAGATCACGAACACAGTGGCTGATGGTACGGGGAGCGCCACTAAGCGTAAGGGTATTCGGCGGCACTGTGCACCTAAAAGAGAGAATGTTGCAATTTCCCGGAGAAACTTCGAGATTCCATATTGCATCTCAGCTTTTTAGCGCCCGTAAGGTCCCTTTGTATTATGGATATATTATCTCTCATACCATCGGAAGCAAAGGAAAATACGACTTCGATGTCGTCCGCGAACAGGTAAGGCGTACCCCAGCGAAAAGCTTGGAAGACGTTTTTGACGTGGCGTAAAAAGAGCATGGGGCGCAGGACACTTCTTTGAAAGCTTCCACTGGTGTCCACTTTTATGGAAGATGTCGTGCCGCCCAGGCACACCGATTGTGCTCGAATTGACAATTAGGGGGCAAACCAGAAGAGCAGCTTCCCAGCGATCCAAGAGGCGAGTTTTGTCAGTAATTTCAGGTGGGGAATGCGGTCAAATGCTTTCTTCATGTCGAGGAAGATGACGACCACGTTATGCCCTAAACTTATCGCGTCAGTGACGTTGCTTAAAAACTAAAACATACACGTCTGGCAGGTATTCGCGGGCAGCACCCCATGTTGGGACCCATTGATGAGACTACTAGGCAACAGAAAATTAAGCATTTCTGCTTTTACCTATCACTCCATGACTTGATGCGATGGGTGTGTGGCTGCCATACCGATAATTGTCTATGTCAAGACGAGATCCTCTTTCAGGTCGGGGTAGGACTACAGCATGTTTCCAAGCAGCGGGGAAGGTATGGGTTGTCAAGGGGAATATAACTAGGTTAAGGAGGAGACCTGGAATTCCTGGACCTCTTGGAATCAGCACTACGGATGGAAAGCCATCGGGACCGGCGTATTGAGACATTTCGGGTGTACGAATGTCTTGAATGATTGCGCGTAGGTTGAATTCGCTGCTGGTCAGCCTATCATTGATGAGCTGGAGTGTAGTAGATGATGTCCTCGAAACGGTGGCCGAAAAAGAGTTGCAAACGTGTTGTTGATAGAATCAAAAAGTTGGGCGGGGTCAGTAATGAGGTTACCATTAAGAAGTGATAATGAGGCAATTGCTGGAGCTCTATTGTTTGCTCTGAGTTGCATCAATCGGGTGAGTACGTTAACTTTGTCGTTACTGCTGAATGCAGCTTCTTCCGCTGAGGTGGCAGACGTGGATTGCAGGTTTCTTCACATTGTTAGTGTATCGTGCATGCGTATTTTTAGGTGGAAATCCTTTGTCTTGCCGTAGCCGGAATGCATTTTCTCAGTTTGTTTAGGACTCTATGTTATCAGCTACACCCTTCGGGTTCGTTGCTTTCCTCGCGTTCTGCTTGGGAGCGACCACGTCACGGCAGAACTTAATGCTCTTGGACATCACTTGGGTCGCTATATCTATGTCTGCCGCTAGAAAGAAGATATCCCAGTTAAGTGCTCGTAGAAGAGTGGAGTAGCTTCCCAAATCGACGCGTTATAGCGGACGGAAGAAACCGCTGAAGAAGAAGTTGTAAGGCTTAGCAGTGGGCAGTCTGAATGTTAGCTTCACTGTCTTATTCTCACTATCAAGCAGTTGGCAACCACACATGCTTGTGCTTGGTTGCTGCTTTTCGTGAATATTAAGTCAAGGACATTAGATTTCCTGGTAGGTGAGTTAACATATTGTATCCAGTTGTATGCGAAGATAAGTTCGATAAGCGCTCTATATATTTGGGCGGGACCTGATGACCTTCCTCCAGCCCTTTTCAAATTCGGGGACCTGCTCTTGTGGACGATTTACACGAGCTACTAATGAGACTGTGGGAGCAGGAAACTGTCCCAACCGATTGGAGCCACTCCATCATAGTCCCAATTTTCAAAGGCGGCTCACGATTGGAATGCGACAGCCATAGGGGAATCAGTCTGATCTCCATCGCCTCCAAATTGCTTGCCTCTGTCATCTTTCACCGACTGACTGGCACTCGTGAAAGCCAGATTCGGGAAGAGCAAGCTGGATTTCGTCGAGGTCGTAGCTGCATTGACCACAGCTTCACCTTGCGTCAGTTGTTGGTGCACCGTCACATATATTGGCGGCCCACCGTTGTCGCGTTCCCCGATATCAAAGGTGTATTCGATTCGGTGGATAGACATGCACTTTGGGACTGTCTACTCAGGAAAGGTGTCCCTAAGAAATATGTGAATATTATCCGAGCATTATACGCTCGTAGCTCGGGCAGAGTGAGGGCTTACAGCAAGTTGTCGTCGCCCTTTAATATTTCCAGCGGCGTGAGACAAGGATGCCCGCTGTCACTTTCCTCTTCAACTTCGCTGTTGACGAAGTCAGGAAAATCGCGTTCACAGGACACGACTTGGAAGGTGTGGAGCTACTCCCAGGTGAACGACTTCTTGATTTAGAGTATGCTGCTGATATTGCCCTCATCTGTGACAGCTCACAAACGTGCCAAGCGGTACTGGACAGATTAGCACTAGCTGTCCGTCACTTCGGGCTTTGCTTCGCACCCTCGAAGTGCAAAGCGTTTCTCCAAGATTGGCCTGGACCGCCTCCTACGCTGATCCTTGGTGGGGATCAGCTAGAAGTCGTTCAAAAATTCAACTACCTAAGAAGTTGTATCAGCGCCCGTGGGATTGAAGATGAAATCACGAAACGTATAGCAAAAGCCCTGGGCGCTTTTGGTAACCTTCGCCACTTATGGCGCCGGCGCGACATCACTCTTGCCCTGAAGGGTAGAGTGCACAACTCAGCAGTACGTTCGACCCTATTGTACGGTTGTGAAACCTGGCCACTTAATGCAGCGGACCTGAAGAGGCTAGTTACGTTCGACCACCGGCGCCTTCGTAATTTAGCTCACATTTGGTGGGAACACCGCGTGAGTAACGAGCGTGTTCGACGCCTTGTTTATGGCACTGGAAAAGGAAATGAACCGCTCAGCACCGTTATTTCACGCATCAGGCTCCGATGGCTCTGCCACGTGTTACGCATGCCAGCCCACCGACTTCCGCGACGTGTGTTGTTTTCGCGCCGGGGGTGTGGATGGAAGAAGAGGAGGGGTGGCCAAGCGATGACTTGGTCCAGAGGAATGAAGACCCTCACTTCTGAGCTGGCCTCGGTTGGAGCGTCTCGGCTCGCTGGTTGGGGTCCGAAAGACGATGAACTCGTTTGGTTGGACACACTTGCTGATATGGCTAGGAGCCGACCTCAGTGGCGTTCGTGCTGTGAGTTTCTTTGTCCCACCCCATCCCTCTTAGCCTCCCCCTCCAACCACGATCTCATTACTTAGCCTTATATAATTTTGCATCATAATTTTTTTTGGGTGCACAGCAGCCGGCTGGTAGCTTACCGGAACGATGCCCAACCGTTACCGGTAGCTCAGCCAGCTTTCACCAGTTGTTTTTTTCTCTCCTTTTTTCTTTGTATTGCGGCACAGTAGCTGAGGTGTTTCCCACCTCTAGCTAACGTGTATGATGATGATGATGCTCTATATTTGGGAGGCGAGGACTGGGTAGACCACTCAATGTGCGGCATATTAAAGTCACCGCAGCTTATCTTAAGGCGTGCAGGTAACAGTGGAGCTTCGTTGAAGAGCTCGACCAATATTTTAAGTTCAGCTTTTGTGATGTGATAGGAGGTAGAGGCAGCCAGTGTGGGGGTCCAAATTCTCGCCATCAGCCTGAATTCATATAGAGTCTTCCGGGTTACCCAAAATTATGCCTTGGAAGGAGGATGCATGAAGTCTTCGCTGAGGTAGAGGTGGCATCCTCCGCCCCGTCGTTTATCGCGTCCACTGCAGAATGAAGAGTAGCCAGGTATTTGGATGGGTGAGTCAGCTGAACTGGCAGAGGGCAAAGTCTCTGTGATTAGGACCAGTTGTGCTTTGGACACAGTAACAAGCGGACCCAGAAGGTGATTCTTTTGATTAATAGAACTGGTGTTGATTGAGAGGCATATTATGGATCCGCAACTCACTAGAATCGTCGAAGTGGGACGCAGTAGGAAGTGTTAAGGCATCCCTTGGTGGATAGTTATTGATTGGATTACGGAAGTTGAGTGAACCGTCTAGCAGCAGTACAGGCAACCCAGGATGTGGTAAGTGGCCTGTTTGCATGTATGCGTGGAGATGCATGCCGGGTAGGTCGGTGGAAAGTATTGGGAGAGGTTTTGAGTGGTAGGGATCAACGAAGCCGAGGGGAGGAATGTGGAGGTAACTGAGGATGTATATAAGCTGAGGGACCTAGCCTGAAGTCGGTCACGAGGTAGGCGTTTAGAGGTGCCGTCCGACTGCCTGAGGTAGGTTGGTCGGAATCAGTTGTACCATGTCGAGGAATCGAGACAGGTGGTAGTGCTCGGCAGCTTGCCCCTCGCGAGCAAGGAGGGGAGGTGCGCAACATGCGGCGTTTCATAAAAAAGGGACCGCGGAATGTGTATCCATGATTCGTGGCACCGTGGTGTGTTGTTGACGGTGTGTGGACTGGCGTGGTGGGATGGGTGGATGGGAGAGCGGGGCATGTGCGGAATGAATCGGTTCGTTGCGCCCACATGGGTTTCGCCCTTGTGATGTTGCTGTTCGGTCAACAGTGTATCTTCCTTTGTTCGGGGTCTGAAGGCGCACGGTGTGGCTTGGGGTTCTGAGTAGGTAATTCGCACGTTGAGGCCGCTCAATACTGGTTGTCGCTGCAGGAGAATTTACTTCCTACCGTGGGGAAGAAAGCGTAGGTTTGCCCTTATGTGTCGTGTTGACTATAGTTGTATGGTTGGTCTGGAAGACGTCTCTAATTGGGCTTTGACCATGCAGCCTCGCAGCTCGGCCATGGTGGAGTAACGTGTATGCGGTGTCTGGTTACGCAGCGCGAGGCTTAGGGTTCTGAGTAGTTAACGTTTACGTTGCGGCCGCTCAGTCCTGGCTGTGGCTGTAATAGACTTCGCTTCTTAACCATGATGTGGAGGCCAACTTATGGTCGGACGAATTGTCTTGCCTGTATTCGCGCGCTTAGTTCGGTTGACGTATCGCTTTGGGTTTTGCCAGAGTGGCTTTGCAGGTCGGCCAACAGTGTAGGGGTTTGGGTGTAATCCAATTACTCGTTGTTGGGCTAGGGGTTATGAGGAGGTAAATCTTGCGATGCGGCTGAGCAACCTTGGCTTTCTCTTTACTAGGCTTTGCCCTGGTGTGTCTATGAATTGGAGAATAAACTATTTATTTAAAGTGGGTAGTCTTGGGGCGTGGTTTGTCTGGCAATCAAGGGGCGTTATCACGGCCGTTTTGGTGCGTTTGGATTTCAATTCGTTGCTATACCATTGTGGCGTTGGAGGGAGCCGAGGAGACACAGTTATAAAACAACCTGGAGCTTGATTTCTGTGGTTAGGTGCCGTGTCATTGTCGGGCAGCGCGAAGTCATTTACGACACTGGATAACGGATATATGATGATAAACAGCCCCAGCCATCGAGTTCGGTGTACGTGTCAGGGATATCAGACACGCTGATGGGCTTTCCGCTGCATTCTGTTCTGTCCATTGTTGCCGTCGAGATAGACAAAACTTTTGCCTGACCTTCAGCTGCGGGTACCTCTAATGTAATAAGGTCTAATTGTTGTTGTGGCAAGTCCATGTCATCGTTGTAAGCCATCAATGAGTTTGATGTAGGAGTTACGTTCATATACCTACGGCCCACCCAAATTGAAATTTCCTGTCTCTGATGGAGATTTGCCTCTCGGCTGCACTATCATGCTTTGCAGCTCACACTACTGTCTCCCTATCAGGTTTTGCATCACTTTTGGTCCATATCGCAACAGTTCAAGGGTGGTATAGGTACCACTAACGTCAGCGCAACATCCTAGGCCTCGCTAGGTTCCCTTTGCTACTGTGCCTCTCATTCTTACACCTTTTGGACAAGTCCGGACTCTGAGACTCCAACTACCTATAGATCTCAAAACAAGGCCCCTCTTCGTTTGCTCCTCGGCTGCCGTACGCTTTGTATTGTTCATATCAAGTCTATCCGACTGATGTCTTTCTTGTTCCACCAGCACCAGGTGCTGAGCACTTGAGCTTTTCGGGCCTCATCCACTCCGATGTTTAACAATACCCTACTGTATAATGGTTCGGCACTTCTCCTGGTTAATATCGCAACTATTCGGGTGAAACACTTAGTTCTTGCGGTGCTGTTTGTATTATCCCTTTAACCCTGGTCAATTCCGGAGCCGGCACTACTGCCGTTTTCTCTCTACAGCTGTTGTAAGTATTGCGGTTTGTGCTCGCTCGTATTCAACACTGTACACCTATCAGTCTATGTCGAGCCTAATAAAGCGTGCCGCTCCTGTATATTAATTAATCAGGCTGCCAGCAACACTAAATAGTGAGGTATAACTAGCAGTCGACTTGACTTCACCTTAGAATGGCACACGTCGCAGCTTTTGAGGCTGCTGCTTACAATTCTAATATTACTGTTCCCTTCCAGCGCTGGTTCTACAACCATTTTCTCGCTAAAGCCCTAGTATTCAGCCCTTCTCGCTCCTGCTTTTTAGGTTGAATGCTTATTAGCGAGCAGTTTCTTCCGTGTATTTAACCCGGCACCCAGTGTCATGCTTTCTTGCTATCTATTTAAATAAATAAATAGGTATATTTCTAGACCTGCTAGAGGCTGCACCCTAAAGGGTTCAGATCAATGCTTACATAAATCCGATGCTCTTGCATGCAAGTAGGTAAAATATAAGTATATGTTCATCGTCAGCAATTACAAATGCATTGGCATTGTTTGATATACAACTACTGGGTCGCAGGCGCCCACCTTGACATGTTTCTGGTTCCTGCGGACGATATTGAACTCCTTGTTCTTTTGTGGAAACTTCGCGGAGGTGTAGTTGTGCCTTTTCTCCTTGGAACAGAATCCAATTCGCCGAAAGTGCACTTTAAATTGATCGCACATTAATTGGCCACTCAGTTGCCCCAATTGTGCGCACATGGAAGAAATGAGTGAAGGGATTATGAGGCATACGAAAAGTTGAAGACCATTCCGATAAATTCGGACAAAAATAGAAACAATTTGTTAAGAGAGAAAATAAAGCTGCGTGCTTCAGTAGAAAAATACCAATTAACAAAAAAATACAGCCCTACTTTTCTTACGCTGATATTGCTCACCGGCGCAAAATTTCAACCTGTTATTCTCAGATAAAAGAAAAAGCCTTTCTACAGTTAGAGTACCGCTTAAAGTGGCACAAAATTACACTGGTCTGGACCAGCTTTAGCGCCTGAATACGTTGAACGTAAAAGCAACACAATACGTGTAGTAGTTTGCGAGTTATTCGCAATTAAATGATGGTCTACGAATAAGGCCATTTTTATTTTTCGCTAAAAATGGCTTTCTGCTTTGCAAGCAGATAGCAGAAAAAAGAAAAGAAATATAAAAAGGTAAAAAGTAGGGAAGCGGCGTACGTTCTAGGTAGGCATAGCTATCCAGAAATGCTCTAATTAGCCCGTAATACCCTGCGACAACTACGAACTGCGCAGGTGGCCGAAAAGTAAACTTTGCAGGCATACATGACAAATATATGCAGATAAGGGATGATCTTGCGCGAAAACGCTAGAAATCCAGCAAGGAATATTATATCTACATGGGAATTCAGGGGAGCTTGTAATTAACTCACGGTTAGAAGGCCACAGCAAACCATTTTCAGTGGATACTGAGCCGCATTGTCGCCGCATTGTCGAAGTCCCTATTCTTTTCCGCTATTTCAGGTCCCTTTAGGGCTGGTTTTGCAACCGTATTCTTGCTACAACTGCAGTATACAAATCTTATTCGCGTCACAACGTTGGCACTCTGTTTCACTCAGTTTATTTTCATGGGTCTCAAACCCGGCCTAGTAACCCCACTGGCTCTCATACATTGAAAACGATAAGCTCTACCTCTTGCAAGCGTTCTCCCTATAAAAAGCCACAAATGTCTGGTTAACAACACTGCGACGTGGCTGATTTGACTCGCCACTGAGTAAAGTCCCTGCCCACAACTACATACTGACAAGTCGACTGGACTCACATATCAACTCTTCCCGACACCGGTTCAACTACACACGATTGAATTCGATGTATCGTCGTGATACACATCTGTTTTTAAACCTTGATCATGCCTGAGTTGGTGTGTCTCTATGAAACTCAGAATAAACTATTTATTTATTTATTTATTTAGCGCTCAACATATATCACAAGCGCATATTAAACCACTTACTATGTTCTTCTGATTCCCCTAACTCATTTACGGGTTAACAACGCCTGATACTCCCGGTTTCCACACA